GTCCTATATCTCCCAATGTAACTTCAAAAGTATATATCCGTGTATGTAGAGTATTCAGCTGACGAGTTCTACCGAAATTTGATGAATTCATTAAATCCTGCTTTATTAACCTTTATTGCTTGTTTTAAATTCGTATCGGGAAATAAATGTTTCCAATTCCGCCATTTCTTTTGGAATTGAAACTCCTAGGGAATGAAATGCCAATAGTGCTCCGGTTACACCGATGTGTCTGATAAATACTACTCTTTCACACGACCGTCTCGCAATTACTGATATCTTCTTACTGAGCTTCTTTAGGTACTGCATATAACTGACATATAGCAACACTATTTTCAGCACTTACATTGCCCCCAACCTTCGCACTCCCTTAGATTCTCGTCAACTTATTCACTCTCACCTCTTTTACGCTTTTTTCTCTACTACATTCTGAGTGTGATAATAAACATTTCCCTACCATTATGTCACATCCATTTCCCAAGAATGTATAATCTTATATCCCACTATTGATTTTCAAGGCACCTAAAGACATGCCGAATCTAATCAGTATACCCAACATTTCTTGTTTATTTTCGTATTTTGAGCTGCTTCATAGGTTGTAACAAAATACTCTGTAAATATATCATAAACTGAGATTAGTTACAGAATTAATGAAAACCAGGGAGTCTAAGGAAGCTGTTTCGTTTTAATTTGGGACTCAATCAATACAGTCCAGTGACCCCACTAGGTATCGAACCCAAGACCTTCAGGTTACAGAGAGAGAGACAGTCGGTCATCCAGCTGCCAATATGGGATCCAATCACCCACCTTCAACATCTAACATGAAGCCCATCGAATCCATGCAAACACCAACACTTGAAACGCTCGTCACCTGTCAAGAAATGTACTAACTAAGACCAAAACAGATATGGATCCAAAACAGTAAAATACTCACTTCATTACATTCATTGATCCCCCTCCCCTCATGACTCAAATCATCAATCCTAATTTACACCAGAAATTGTTAGGTAAATAATCTATACTCAGCAAGAAGTATAATTCACAAAGGAACTTTTCAAATGTGAGAAAGCTGGTACGCCTGTCAAGCGTTAGCACTTAGAAAAGTCTTCGAAAACGGTTCAATGATTGCAAGCAATCACTGCTAATCTAGCATCTACTGTCAGTACATTTAATGCTAAATGGACATGATTTTGCAGTCTATAAACGCATGAAAGGATTTCCTTAACAAAGTAAGATTTATCATTACATAAGACCTGATAAATTCATATGTTTCTTCAAATAAAAAGTATTCCTTTCATCTGTCTATTCATACCAAATAAATTGTTTTGACTATTTTTCACTTATATATTTGGTAAGTTTATAATCCATCTCTGATACCTCCACTCACTGTCAAATTCTAACATACACAAGCATACTTGTTATTATCTATTTTGATCCGCATATATAAACACGACATTCTGTCTGGATTCAACATAGAACTTGGCACCGAAGTGCAGCAGTTCGAGTTGCCACGTTCCAAATAGCACACAAAGGTAGACAAGAAAATGAGTGAAGAGAATCAATGGAGTTTTGACAAGTATAAGAGTTAAACAGAATGAGTAATAGTAGAAAGGAATATGAAAGATTACAGAGACTGAATACATCTGCGTAAGCCATTGACAACGATTTTGAGCCATGTCACCTATTGTCTCCAGCCATTGATTCTTAGAGTCCCGAGGACGGGCCCCAACCCGGAAGTCTGCATCTCCCTCTCTACCTGACTCAGTTTAACTGTCAGGGATTTCATGGATTGATGAGGCCATGTTTTTGTTTGGCCACCACTTACTCTTTTCCAGCCTGCACCTATATAAGCTAGTAATGCCCGTCGGGGGAGGCGATGGTTAGGGATGCGCAGTGCGTAACCTAGCCATCTCAATCTGTGTAACTTTATAGCCTCTTCGATTGATTTTCCCTCCTTGCCCAACACTCTACGCCAAAACGTCAACATTACTTCCCTTATTATGCCACCCAACGTGAGAAAGAGATAGTAAACAACCATGATCAAAAACAGTCAATCTTTTACATGTCTTCAACTCTTATTGGCCATGTTTCAGAGCAATAGAGAAGGACGGAGAGAACTGCTGAGTAGTACACACGTCCCTTGGTTGATAGTCGGATGTCACGCCTAAGCCAGAGATTGTGTAAGTTAGCGAAAGCAGCTCGAGCTTTTTGGATCCGTGCTGAGATTTCGTCACCAATCAATCCATTGGTGCTGATACAACTTCCCAAATGAGTGAAGTGGTCAACATGTTCTATCACTTCACTCCCTATCACTAAGCTAGGAGTTGACGTAGTCCAGTCCTGTAGCAGCATCTTACATTTTACAGGGGCGAATCGCATGCCAAACATATAAAGATTGCTGCTCAATGTGTTCAGAAGACTCTACATTTTGTCAGCATCCTCCCCAAACAGGACTATGTCATCCGGATATTCTAAGTTTAAAAGACTATACCCTGGTAACAAGTCGATTCCTAAATCGTTAAGTTCAGTTAAGGATAGTTCCATTAGCACATTACTGACATTGATACAAATAACTTTATAACTGTACAGATGAAAATCGTTGACAACAGGATTTCCTTCACAGACATCTTTGTTTCAGTAAATATACAATGAAGAATAAATTTGTTACAAGCGTCTGCTGATAACAACAACGTGTAATCTTTACACCACTAGCCAGAATCCTAAACAATTATTGAACCAAATCCATGTGAAATTGTACACGTATTTTACTACACACAGTTACCGTTGCTATTCATGTCCTCTGGCGTATGAATATGAATCTGAATAAATAAAAGACCAGGTCTTTGTTCAACCCATATGAGTGTACCATTTTTGTCGGTTATAGTTATCGTGAGACTGACAGTTGTAAAGAAATATCATTGACAATAAATTTTTGCGCGAACTTCTTACAAGAGAACACCGTGGGAACATCTGTTACCAAGCTACCCTAGGCAACAGACAGAAGGTACTGTCCATGAAACCTTTGTCAATGCACTCAACATGAAACTCGTACAGTTGTTGACTAATGGATAACAGCAATAATTCCTTATCCTTTTTAAAATAATTCCTATGAAATTAAATAAACGAAACACAAAGAGAATCACACAACACACTAATACGAAATTTAGCCAAACTAGAATACAACAAACGTCTGTGACAGTAAGAAGACTTTAGTCATTCATACTGTAGTCGTCATATATTTCAGTTGTTTGTATTAGATGACAACCGTTTATCAGCAGGAACTTTTACGTTGGAGACATACAGTGTTCTAAGCATAAACAATTCTCCACAGTAATAAATGACCACGTAAAACATATCCGGAGTTTCTCAGTTGAAAGCACATAATACATACCACCCTACACACATACTCCCGACAGGAGCTCCTATTATTTTGAACATTGCCAACTTCTTCGACCGGATACAATGCCAATAGAGTAACCATAATGAGTATCCTATGCAAATCCCCTAAAATCTATATCGCTTTAGAATATTTGTATGTAGAAAGGTGTCTGGTACAGCTGTAATATGAAACACTATCGCTATGACCTTTCATTCCAAAGTGCAATTGCACAGATGAGCCAGTCTCTAAAATACAAATCTCGCTAGATCAGAGATGTAGATATTAGACTCGCAAGTTTCTTGTACTAACAGGAATGTCGGCGAAATGTGTAATCTGGTGGTAACATCAAGTTCGAACGAACGAGTGAATGGGAGCCAGAAATAACATGGAATAACTACAGGCTGCTAAAATTCATCACGAAGCAATAAGACATATTGACAAATAACAGAGGTGTGAGTAGAAAAAACAGGTAAACTTCAAACAAGTAAACAAAAGAGATTCAAATGCAAACGCCACTGAAACCGTCTGAATCCTTCATGTCGAAGGATGTCACTTGCCTCTAACCTCAACTGGTGAACGTACGGCTATGATGTCAATAACAGTTGAACACACAGTTGACTACGACACTCTACAACGATACAACACAATCCCAGACACGAATTAAATGACAGCATTACGCAATACTATGACAGCACACTTTGTAAATTGCACATCGTGAAGTTATCAAGATAAACGAAAAGGATGCTATAATAGGTGATTACTACTTGAGCTTCATGCGAAAGTTTGACAGACAAATAATGCAACAGTAAGCCTAAATACTTCAGACTCCATGCCGAAACAACTATACAAATGAGCACCAATTCATGCTGCTAAATTTCAACGAAAATAGGACTGAAGACTATTGGCATCATGAGCGAAGAATAAAAAAAGGAATAACCAAACAAACAATTCGAGAATCTGTGGTGCCAAGGAAAGGGTAGATTTCCAAAGCAAGAGAACACATTCTAACACCATGGAGATCCTGAATCAACTTTCTGTATATGCAGCCAGAATACCCACGTCATTCAGAGCCGTCAATGAGTCCACGCGTCATCGTCATCATGTTACGCAATATTTCTCTGAATAAAGTGAAGGCATGCAGTCACAGTAGTCCCAACCTCGTCGTTCAACCTGCTTTCTCTGACCAACAACAGTTGTCAGCCTTATTCATCATATTTCATTTCACATTAACACCAATGATTGGAATCCCGTTGTTTCGAAGCATGCCTCAGCTGCAAGAACACCTGATTATTCATATAACATCTCAGAGAAGAAAAGATAGTCAGTACCGAACGCAAATACTGTCTTCAGACAGAATAACGTGAGCAACCAGTTGGTACTTGTGTGACATTTAATCTTCAATCTTATTGAGAATAAAACTTGTTTGTGATGTCAAACTTTTGCTCCTCGACCCTCCATCTAGTGTTTAGTGATCATAGCGAATATTTGGTTTTATGATTGAGGCGACCAACTACATTGGTTAGATAAACCCACAAACGAGAATCATCTCTTCTGTTGTCGTCATCGCCTAACGCTGAAATTAACGCATTAATAACACAAACATCCAATTATTTAGAACACAGAATCCGGTAACACAGGTGTATTTTAGAATATTATTTCACTTCTTCGCTCTTAGCTACTTTCGCAGGAACTTCGCTTTCTTTATTGGCAGCTTTACGCTTGAGCTTCCCGTTGATCAGGGCACGCTGAAGAGCCATTTTGAAATGTTTTTCTCCCAATGCGAAAGGATTCATCTTTAACAAGGCCTACAAAACAAAGAATATTTTTAAGTCATGCAGACCAGACAAATGATACATTTATAAGCATGAGATTAACTAAGTTCCAAAATTACCTGTTGATTCTTAAGTGGATTCTTCTTAACCTTCGGACCTGGACGCTGCAAATGCATACGCCTAGACCTTACAACCGAGGAGATTTCTCGGCAATGTAGAAGCCTGCCAAGGTCCGAGTTGGTCATTTTTGCCATTGGTAGATGGAAACCAGTCTTCTTAACACTTCCTGTCTTCCAAGTGCCATAGATTTTGTCCAACTGTCTAAACGCGCCATCGGTCCAAATGGCCAAACGTCCCATATGACCACCAGGAGCAAGCTTCAACAGATTTAGAGCTCTGACATTAATCAAAGTCACACCTGAAAAAATTATCTGAAGATATATAACATACCTGGAATATTTCTGAATGCACGAGTTATTCCGTCATCTTTTTTGTAAATAACAATTGGACCACGTTTCTGAATGCGACGTCGATTCCTCATTTTACCCTTTCCAGCTCTGAAGCGCTGGGAGTTGTAAACTTTTTGTATATCAGGCCACGCCCGAACTGCTTTGAGCACCTTTACGGCATCTTTAGTTTTCTTAATCGACTCCACATCGTTGGATACAACAAGAGGAAGCTCGGGAACACGATCACAGCGATGACCGCGAGCCATGACCAGAGACGGAACACCCGTAGCTGCAATAGCAGTACAAATAGCATAACGTCTTTGCTGTACGTTTATTTTTCTGTGCCACCTTCTCCATGTCTTGGTTGGAGCATACATATGCCCACCTCGACACATGTTTCCATAGGCTCCTTGGCCTGATCGATGGGTACCACCACCACGCACTCTGGGAATACGAGCAACAGCTCTACCAGTACCCCAAGACTCAGCAGATGTTTGATGACCAGCCTTGGTACTAACTGCGTAAGGTTGTCTTGAATTTTTGCGCATTTGATCATGAACGAAGTTCAGAATATCCATGCGAAGCGGAGCAGAAAAGACTGCTGGCATTTTAATTGTAGCACGCGTAGGTGCACCATCAGCTCCGTACACATTAACAATTGGCCTCGCAACAGCCTGTGAATAGAAGCTTAGCGTATTAGTGGAAGCTTGCGAAAATCGAGACTTAAATCGTACAAAAATGAGTTACACTTATGCACTTATCATACGAAACCTGATAAATTGTAGTCATATGACTGTCATGAGCTACTTAGAATCTCAACCAAACTGCTATTTCACAAATACTGAACACAAGGCTCTAGTGAAAATTTATCTCCTTAGAAACATTCCTTACGGCCCATTATACTTGCTTTGCTGATTAGTTTTGACGAATGCTTGAATGCTAACAGACAAGGCTAGTCAGCCAGCTACTACATCCAGACTAGCGTATATATCTAACAATAGACGTGAGGTCTATTTCAGCACTTTGTCGTACACTTGCTGTTAAGACTCCCATAACTGCTAAAATCAAGACCTTCTGAGTTGTCTGAAGTTTGATGCAATAATCCGTCCAAATTTTACGTAAGTCCAAATGTTACGAACAGTCAGTGAGGAGATACGAGGCTACAACTAAACACAACGTCAAACCCACCATTTCAGCGTGAACACCAGTGTAACTAACTTCCCGCGTTAAGAACAGAGGTTAAAACAACCTTTAAGTAACGCAGTCATAGGAAAACAAAATGAAAGTATCCTTACTTTCAATTCACAATCATTTTCAGTAAAAAAAATTAGCAAATACTAGTCACTTGTTGAAGGATTAGTTTATGGTTTCAATCAGGAGAAGAAAGGATTCAGTCACCGTGTAATAACTAAGGTTCAGTGAAGTTAATTACATTGTCAGCTAAATAATAATGAAGCTTGTCACCATATTCACTGTAAGAATTTAACCCATTAAATCCAATACTCGGTAGCTTCACAGCAACCTAAATTAATCGGAACTATTTGCAGGAATCTGTCCCTTGACCAAAAAGGATGTCTCCAGACCTCATATATTTTCGGATGCAGTAGAAGTGATCACTCGATTTTTAGAAACTCATCTGGCTACTGACTTTTAGCGTATGTCTCAGGAAACCCCAACCATATTCCAAAGGCATGTGGCTGGTGCGGTTGTAGAGTCTCAAGTAGCAAAACAATACATGTGACTGCTCGAAAGGAGAGATTAATCGATATTGGGAGAAAAAACTGATGGCACTAAAACTAGAAAGTGAAAACAGTAAGAAAGAAAAAGACTGCGAGGATAAAAGTCAAAAAATTCCAATTATGGGAGTAGTTATAGAGTCAGCAGAAATGGCGGGTGTGTACATCTGTAGACCCCTGTAGTGTTCATAGATACTTAAGTCTGACCTTTTCATTACGCGGATTGAGGAAGTCCATCAAGGGCTTTGAACTTTTTTAAAAATCGTCAACTGACAGAAGGACGGTTATATTATTCATCAGAGTACGTCACATAGCAAATGGTAAAATGAGATCATAGTTGTGTTATCTATCTTCTTTGTCCTCACAGATGCATTAAATATTAATATGATGACGTCTCTGAGACGGAATGAGTGGCCTCAACCCCTGTTTCAGCAGCTGTTTTGTTGCCTTCTGGCTGTGTCTTAAATCAGTGTGTAAAGCAATGGTTTCAGTGGCTACAAAAGTTTGTAGCTCCGGTGAAACCTTTCCAAACTGGCGGCACCCTTCCTTAGGGCACATGGTGCAATGACAGTCTGAAAGCTCAAAAATCGAAATGCTGATGTCCTTCAAAGAGGACTTCATTTGCTTCATGTCTCAAATATATATATCAAGAATTTATCATATGCTGTGTTGAACAGAGTGGAACATCTACTTGCGTACTTAATGTTAGTGATACATGTGCGTTGTTGTGAAACTGGATGGATGAATTTGCTCATATATTTCTATGCTAATAAACAATTCATCTATCATGTTGTCGAATAGCCCTGTGAATTATAGCTCGGTACGTTGAGGTGTATCTATTTAAAATGTTCGTTTTAAAAGTTTATTGTCAGTGAACAGAATTAGTTCATTCAAAACGTTAGTTATTATTATTAACTTGTAAAACATCGGTGGATTAGAGAACCTTTGTGAAATTTCAGTCACTTCAACAAGGGTAATTGTTTAATATCATTGACCGAATTCATGTCACCTACTATTCATTTATTTCTGAGTATCTCATGTGTAAATCAGCTTCAGATGACTTGAAACTACTTATACTGTCAAGAGTAAGCAAGGCTCTTGACTTGAGTCTGCCAAAGACCACGTTAAAAGTTGTCGATAAAGTTAATCAAATAATATAGGAAAACAACAGTTACTGTGGAAATTTAACGTACTATACTTGTGATAGTTCCACACTATGGCCTCATAACACAGTCATTCCAAATACATTCTGTTTTCCATTATTGATATTCTAGGTTGCTGCCATCGATATACTCACTCAGTAATCGACAGAAGTTTTGTGGTGAGAGCAAGCTGCTAGCCAATTGGTAGACATTGATCTACGCTGATTGGTAGAAATTAATCTAGGCTGATTCAACGACCGATCACAGCTGACCTAGACGTGGACAAATATGATTCGCAGACAAGTGGCTCGCATTTCCGAGAAATATCGAAAACGAGAAAGCAGAAGACTGCGTTTGTTTGCAAACAACCAATCAGAAGACCGCCTTCTTTCTGCGGGCAGAAGCCTATTAATGTACGTAAAATACATATAAATACCTGTTGGTTTTCGTAATAAAACTGATCTGTTGCCAGCCTTGTCTTCTGTTGTTACATTTGGTGTCGCTGCCTCCGGAAAAATGAAGATCCCGTGGCCAGCTGCGTTTGAGGAGGGAGACATACGGAGCTTCCTACGTGATTTCGAAGCCGTAGCTGAGTTGGTGGGGGTCAAGGAGCAGGCGGCGAAGGCAGTTGTTCTGGGGACGCTGTTGAGAGGCCGAGCGAAGGCAGCATTTGACAGTGTAGACCGGTCAAACGGCACAGTGTCTTGGAAGAGATTGGTTGAAAATTTGGTGTCGGAGTTCGACAGCGCAACAGACAGACACCTAGCGATGCAGCAGTTCCGATCAACGAGGCTGGGACCTGATGGAGACCCGTTAGTATTGGCGGTGAAATTGACGAATTTACTTTGACGGGCGCTTCCCACGTTGGATAAAGAATCAGAAGAGCAGTTACTATCTTCCCAATTCATCGAGAGTGTACCAGACCGCATTTCTCAGCAGTTAAAACTGGTTAACGCAACGCAACCGATGGATATTAGTGAGCTAGCAAAGGTGACCAGACAGCTGCTGAGCACGACTGTAGCCACTATAGAGCAGCCGAAACCAAATGAATATGAGCAGCAAATTGAAGCATTGCAGCGGGAAGTGGCGGCGTTAAAGTTGGGTAATAGAAAAAACCGATGTTTTGAATGCGGCAAGCCAGGACACTGGAGAAGAGACTGCCCAGAAAGACAGAAAAGGAAAAATTTCAGACGGTATAATGCCTGTTCTTTCTTTCGTATGAACCTAGACTTAGTGGGGGCGATTGAGAAAGGTGCTATGTATTCGAAGTTGCGAGTAAATGATCGAGAAGTAGTATGCTTAGTAGATACAGGAGCGGCCGTGTCATTGATAGATAAGAATTTATGTAAGAGCGTTAGTCCGTGTTCGTTAACAGTACAAACAGTAGGCGGGCATGTGTTGCGTATAACGGGTAGGTCGAACTGTACGGTTGTTGTTGGAGGGTGCGAGGTGACGTTTCCTTTCATTGTTGTGCCCGAACTACAGCGAACGATATTAGGAGCGGATTTTCTGCGGGAGATTGGTGCAATAATTGACACGCAAGCGAAAGTGGTGGTCACGA